TTTTTTCATGTTTATTTGTGGCATATCGTTCGTTTAAGTCAAATAAATCAAAAGTTTCATCAAAAAACAAATGATAACTTCTTGCACAAAGACATAATTGGTAATTATCTTAATTTTCTTAATTTTATTGGAAAAAAAAAAAAAAGTAAAAATTTAATTTTTGCTTATATAAATTTAAAAATTAGAAAAAAATAGACAAAAAAAAAAAAAGGTAAGCCAACTCTATTAACGAAAATGATATGCATCAAATTTAAAAATATATATATATATATTATTATCTGATTGTAGAACGTTGGCTACATTTTTTTTTTTGATTTATTGGTGAAAATAAAAAGTAATATGCAAGTTTGAGTTTGAGACACGTATAGGTAAACTTTCGTAAATTTAAAATAACCAATTTTGTACCTCGTTGATCTTTTTTTTTTTGACTTCTTGCGGCTGCTTTTATAGGAAAATTTATGGTAATTGATGCAAAAGCTTCACTTTTTAGAAGAAAATCGAAGAAAAATTGTTCTAAAGAATGTGATTAAAAATAGTCATGCACTGTAAAACAAAAACCTAATTTGTCTTCTCAAAAAACAGCATAACTGACAAAACAACTCGGGAATGTGACTGACTTGTTTTAATAAACAGACCTCAAATGGGTGACAAATAACGCGTGACAAATATGATTTCCACCTAAAAAAACTAAACATAGGGGTGTGACGTGATATTTATATAAAATAAATAGTGATATATTGATAATGTGGACTTCCCCTGCGTACACATCAAAAAATGTCACGTCGGCCCGCATTAAGACTTTTGCAGGCCCATATGCATGATCATGCATGTTGCCGATCCTTAATGTCGGCCATTTCGTGACATTTTTTATGGGTACGCAGGGGTAGTCGATAATGTGCCACTGTGCCCCATTATCAAGCAAATAACCTATCATCCAAAATAAAGTTGACGAGGTTATGTAGTCTGAACCCCTTCTTTCGGAATTCTGATGTCTGCAGAATTTTTTTCCAATTGATGAGTACTCTCGCTACTATAATTGGGAAATTTTCTTGATAAAAAGCTACTTTCGTGATTTCAAAATAGCTTATTGGGGATTTTTTTTTTCTTGAGAAATTATATCAATGGTCATGTAGTAAAAGTTACATAATACAAAGATTCAATATCAATGCCAAGGTAACAATAGTTCGTAAAAAATTTTTTGAAGTTTATATATGTGTATATATATTAATATTTAAAAATGATAATCATTATAGAGAACTACAAATCTAGCAACCAATCATAAAATCATTCTTCGTTACATAGCATCGGCAATTTTGGTTTCAATAGTTCAGGTAATATCAGATATCGCTACAAAATGCACGTGGGCCTTGCAGGTGAAGAAGATCCGTATAGTTTGTGTACAGTAGGTGCCTTGACAAAGATAGATCGTATCATCGATTACTCTCCCGCATTTGGAACTCACCATCTAATAAAAAATTAAAGGGAGTTCATCAAATTTTAAATCGTGTTTATGTTATAAGAAACCTATCATAGAATTAAAAGAATCGGATGATGCATTGGAAAGCGATTCAAAAACATAAAACTTGGAAAGATGTCTAGATCAATAAGTTTGACTTACAAAATTTGAAGCATCTATTGTAGCACAATCTCAAACCGAATCTAGCACAACGACACCACCGTAAATATCACTATTGTCTAAAACTTAATTTCTCGAACTATGTAGTACAATAAGCAATAGGTAGATATTTTAACGATCCGGTGGATAAGCGGGATCTGCATAAAAATGATTTAAAATCTTTTTATCATCTTTAGTAGAATTGCAATAAACTAACCAATTACGCTTGTCTAATTGATACTTTCAACAACCCATTTCCGTGATTTCATCCATGCTAAGAGCTTCAATGAGAAACTCCTCTCTGGACTTTAACTTGTCCAAAAATTTGGTGAGCATTTTCCAAACTTTAATTTTTCTTTCATCATGATCATCTTGATGAATTCCGTGAAACTTGATTAATATAATATCTCGTTCAGATAATGCACCTATTGAAACGTCTTCCAAACTTCCTGCAATTGACCCTCTTAAATAAAATTTTTTTTTTTTTAAACATTGATATCTTTTCCAGAAATAATTACAGAATGCCAGAATTTCCAATATCAGCTTATGCATCTGACCTAATTAATCATTGAGCTGGTTTAACAAATAATTGTCAGAGTTGAAAGAGTTCGCCAAGGGAGATGTTCCGAACAAAAATCTACAACTTTATCACACCACTTTGAGAGTTCATCCTTATGCAAAAGCCCATTTTGATAATGATTCGTGAAGAAGTTCAGAATCATGATAGAAGTATCCTTAAAGATACGCGACACTAGATCCATAAATTTACAATTGATCAATATTAAATACACTTTGTAAATAATAATAATAAAAAAAATATGCGCACAAACCATAATGTTCCTCGTTAAGTACCTACGCCTCTCATATGATCTTAATATAAAGTACCAAGAATGCATAAAGTTAAAACACATCTTTTATGAAGTATTGCCAATTTAACACCAAATACAAATTTCAGTGCGTCTTTAAATGTCCAGTGTTAGCAATATATAATCTCAGCAATAATTTCATTAAATATTTATATGACCTTTTCAGCGCGATAGAAAATTAACCCACCAAATTACATTAGAATTTGATTTCAAATTCTGATCAATAGTATTTTTCTATAGCACCTTGTAATAACCAGACCAATAATTACGGTTCTGAAAAGCTGGTACAACATCTAATAATGGGCCATTTGGTTGCAACAATAAATGCTGATCCGATCAAGGACGGTATAATCTTATTTTAATAACCCAATTTTCGTAGTTTAGTCCAGTTCCTATAGTGATAATAATTGAATCTGATCTTATTGTATGATCTATCTATAATCTATTCGAATGTCTTTGTTGTAGAGAATTCTGTTGTTTCCATTGGTTGTTCTAAAGAAGTTTTTTTTTTGTTGTTGTTAAATTTTCTGTTATGACGAGAATTCCAAGACATTATGTTAGTCATAAAAATAATAAGTTGATAAAAGACTTCAATATAATATCTATTAAGAGTAGTATACCTTATACATGTTTCAAGTTTCTTAGTCTTCATAGAACTTCCAGAAATTGGGATCGAACAATAGAAATAATATCTAAAATTCTTGAGAAGTAATACTCTAATGCAATAAAGCAAAACCAATTGTCTTCGCTATAATAATTGAATATTCAAGAAGAATTTTATTCCACCACTTATTTAAGCTTAATAATATAAAGTTCTGAAATTAAAGCATTTATTCCACTACCTTCAATATTTTCCAGTCATGCGGGATGTTAATTGCCAGCACTTGTTAAACACGAACAGTTACTGAACATTATATAATGTATTGTAATTTAAGAAATTATCTGGGGTTTTAATTTTGGCCAACAGAAATCGGGCCAAAATTACTAACAGGCGATGACATCATGACAATAGTGTTAATAATTTCCTAGGTCTAGAGTTTAATTACAATGATTCTAATACCTCACAAAAATTCATTATTTTAATAAATATTTCACACATCATTATTCATATTTTATTAGAGATAGATAGTATCATATTGGAGAACACATTCTTAACCGTAACTACAGATAATGCTAACATAAAAAAATATATAATTTGTATTTTATGAGCGATTCATTGAATGTAACTTTGCAACATGCCTCTAAACTTGAATGATAAATCATGTAATCAATAGATGAAAAGAAATCCGTGCAGAATAAATGCTGCATATAATGGAGAAAAAAATACATACCAACTTTATGCGGTTATGATCACTCGAAAAAGACCGTCTTAAGAAACATCTCGACGTCGTCCTTTTTTTCTCAGGACAAATTCAACCTGCGTTGCGATATTTTTTCAACATTTATCCAACAAAATGTTCATTGTTTTCGAATAAAATTTTTCGTCGGCTCTATTAAATAAAAATATGAATAAAGAAAATTCCTTCATGAACGTTAAAAGAACTAGAAAAAATTTTTTTATTATACCTTTTTTCTTTTTCATTACTGCCGAATTATTTTTCTAGGACTTCCAAAGGATTCGACGTTTATACGTGACTTTACATGTTAAATTTTTTATAATTTGTTTTAATGTCTGTAGAAAAAGATGAACATCATATTCCCCTTTATGTAGGTACTCCTAATTTTTTGTGACTCAGAGAAAGCATTTATAAATAACAGTGGCTTTAGTCAGATCGGATAATCTTTTTTTTATTCTACAGGTTTCTTTTTACCCTACAAAATCTCAATTTCTTACTCATTTTTTAAATTCTTAACTTGGTGCAAGCGCTAAATATTTAAGTTAATAAATAATATACCGTAGCTCTAACAATGGAAAATAAGTAAGCTTTCATTTAATTTTAATGAATATGTATTACCAAACGGTATATTTTGAGTCTAGAAGAGTACTTGTTTTTTGGTTGGATTATCAACTTGCTTTTATAATTTCTCCGTTCCATTTCTCACTATTGAAACGAAAGTACTATTCTACTTATGATATACTCGTAAAAATAAAAAAAAACCAACTCTCACTTTTTTCCGCGGAAATTTTTAGGATTTTCATCTAACAAATTTTATTTTTTTATTTTTTAAAAAAAAATAGGTTATCATACCAAAGAATTATAAACCTATGTCATAAGAATATGGCTTTTAAGAATGTGTCTGCGGTAACCCATCAAAAGCCGGTAATTCGTTCAATACCTTGGAATCCTTCAACAAGTATTCAAAATGGAATAGAGAAAGTGATCTCTATCAACTACCAAGTAAATCATAATGGATTTTACTTGATGAAGCAACAAATATTTGGGCAGGAGCTCAAAATTTAGAAGGGGGGGAACATAGAAGCGCAAAATAAATCTAGACATATAGAAGCGCAAAATAATCTAGATGTCTAGAAGCGTAAATTGCTCTAGACATATAGAAGCGCAAAATAATCTATATGTCTAGTAATATAGAAGCGCAAAATAATCATAGTTTAAGAGTGATGTTTACAGCATCGGTGTAATTTTATGGGAGATATCGAGTGGTCGTCTCCTTATATATCGAGGCGGAAAATTCTTTTGGTTGAGAGATTCACAGAAACAATTTAAATTTTATGT